GGTGGAGTGTGCAGTTCACAGATGATTCCAAATGGATGTATTTCTAACTTGTTAAACTGTCTGAGATTCCACCATTAGAGATTCATTCTTAGGAGCACTGATGAAAGTGGAAGTAAGAAGCAGGAGGAGGATCTAGAAGTGCTCAAAAAAGTAGAGCTAAATAGTAATACAATTAAATTTAAACATAGATTATTCAACCAAATCTCAGAGAAGTAGGAAGGAAGTACCTGTGAAACCTCATGAAAAGTTTTAAGAAGAAACTCATGCATGTATAGAGTGTAAAACTGGAGAAGAAAATTGGAGGGAAGGATATTTTTTCACTTTTGCTCTCAAGAACTAATATCCATAAAATGCCAAATTTGCCTTACCTGTCAAAATTAGACTCTAGCAGTGGTGAGATGAAGCATATTGTGGGAGGCTGGGATCAGGAGTTCAGAACTCTCCAGCAGGGCTGAGTGAAGATGAAGGTAGGAATAAATGACCAGACCAAATGGGGCTTCCTCAGGGATAGATCAAGTTCACATGGCTTCAAAGTCAGGTTCCAATGTGGGACTCAGGCTGTTAGGCAAGTTTCTTACACAGCTTGTCGGTGTGATAAAAGTGAAAGTGTGGCACAAGTGCTATGAGCACAGAGCCAGTGAAAGGCCTGGGGTGTCATTCAAACAAACATGAGGCAGGAACCAGTTGGCAGAGGTAAGGGCATGCAGGTATTATGTATTTTTATCTTATTTTATGTTACACTATATTATTTTTAAAGTTTATTTCCCTTCTGGCCTCCTTCCTAAAAGGATTAAATTTAGCTTTCAATAAGTGACACAATGAGATAAGACATTAGGGGACAAATAATGCATTTAGGGGATTGGGTTGGGAAATGGACACTAATATAAAAAAAATACTAGGGGCACCTGGATGGCTCAGTTGGTTGAGTGTCTGATTCTTGATTTCGGCCCAGGTTGAGACCTGTGTTGGGCTGTGTCAGGCTCTGTGCTGAGTGTGGAGATTCTCTCTCCCCGCCTCTGTCCCTCTCTCCAGCTCATACTCTCTCAATCTCTAAAAATAAATAAATAAATACATAAATAAATAAAAGACTAGACTTCACTGAGTCACAATTGAGTCACAAACCAGCTCAGTTAAATCCACATTGACTGAATAGTGACTATGAACTAAGCACTTGCCATGCCTGATCTTAATGGATTTTCCCAGTAACTCAGAAAATAGGTATTGTTATTATCTCCATTTAAACATTCATTGTTGTTGTTGTTGTTTAAGCTAATGAGGAAATTCAGCTTCTAATTTGCTTGGAGTTCCACAGCCAGAACATGGCAGAACTGGGATTTAAACACAGTTTGACTTTAGAATTTGGGCTCATGGTCATATACATATTACCAACTATGAAGGTAGCAGGTGTAGAGAAATCAAATCAGCAGGTGACCAGCGTTCAGTGTTAAGACATATATTACCTGAAAATGCTCAGTAACAAGAGAATAAGGCAGGAAATCCTGGATGGATACTGTAGTCAGAACAAAATCTAAGAGTGTCTCCTACCTGTGTTTGGGGCCAGGATGGATTATGTACCAAACATACAAGTAGAAGTTAAATGGCAGTAACTTTGAAAGTTAGGAAGAGAAAGGGAAAGAGAATTTAGAATGTCTTACACCATTCTTCCCTTGCAGGGTGAAGACCTTATGCATATGTGAAGCAAATTAGAATTAGATTAATTAGAATAAAAGGCAAATTCCTCGTAGTGTTTATTCCACATCCATAGTGTTAAGTGATCTTTCTATAATGCTAACATTCCTCTTCTTAAAAAAAAACAAACAAACTCGGTATACAGGAGACAGAAGAGGGGTTTACAAGCCACATTATAGAGCCCTTTTTGCCCAATGATAGACACCAGACTGCTGACCATGACTGGTAACCTAAGGAGGTGAAAGTTGACACGAGTTGAAATTTCATACAAATGTGTTTCCAGCATTGCCAGGGAAATCTCTCTTTTAATTCCTAGCTTCTTTTCTCACCCCTCTGGTGGAGCTTAATGGGATCTGGACTTGGTATACTTCCCTTCTTAATAACATTAGTCTTAACTTTTTCCCTTTATGGACCATTTTTTTGGGTTGAGTTCAAGCGTTTAATAATATTTTTTGAGCACCTAATATGGATCAGGCACTATGGCAGGCACTAAGGATGAAATGAAAAGTAAAACCAAGTTTCAGTCAGTTCTCTCTATGCCTCTGGACACCATAGCAATGCCAGTGTAATAAGACTTCACCATGAACTGAGGACCTCCAGAAATCTGTGCCATGCAATCTCCATTCTCAAAAGTAAAGGCTATGCTGATTATATAGGTGAAAGGAAAAAATAAGATGATGACAAAATTTTTGGAAATAGTGGTAGATCCAGGGTCAGAAGAACCAAGGACAGCTGGGGGAGTTAGGAGGCTAGAACTAGCATCAATGTTCTGGAAAGTCTAGCACTGACACCATTTCTGAAGTGGCTGCAAAGCTGACCATACTGGATTTGGAATGCCACTGCTATTGGTCGGATGAATTCTAAATGGGCACTCCTCTTTACACATTTGCTTCCAGTTCCCAGTCCCTCACAGACACATCCTTAGATGAAGCTAAGGTGATGTGCTCACATTACGGAATAGGAAAAAGGGATAACTGACATTTCAAGATTCCATGATGCAAGGTGGGCCCTGCCTTCTAATCAGACTCATTCAATGATGGATTACACCTCCTCCCCAAAAGGAAGGGGGTTCATTTATTGACCAAACAAAAACAATTGTTAACCATAATGTAGACAAAAACTAAAACGGAAATAGTCATAGGTGATCATGATATGTATTCAACCACAGTTGATGATAAGATCTGCTTATTTCTCTGCCTTCATTCCCTAGAATAATAGTATTAAATAAAGACATTGGAAATCACTTCCTCAAGGATTCTATTTCTTATGAAATTGCTTCCACATTTGGCCAGAAGGGGGCACCCTAAAAGGAAAATGAATTTTTTCCATTTGTCCTACTCTGCAGTGTAGAATGGGACAGTTAATACCTAGTGCTAATCAGTAACTCTAGTATTAGTACTAGTAATTTAAGCAAAAAAACCTAAGGGAAGATAAGGTTATACATACACACACATATATACATATATGTATATATACAACTCTATACATATATGTACATATGCTAAGAAAAAAACCCAGTTAACCAAGTAGTTCAACATCAGGCTAATTAGTTTTCCTCTTCATAGTATTTTGTTGTCTCATACATTACAAGTAAATCTCAGGAATGTGAGATTGAAATATCTAGGTCAATAAAAAGCATAGTACTCCTGCATTTGCTTACCAAAGCAATACACTGTTAAAGGTGGAAAACCTACATAAGGGATTTGTAAGTTCAAGTTGGCTTTTGTTGTTGTTGTTGTTTGTTTATTTTGAAGTGGGGGGAGAGACAGAGAAAGAGAGAGAGAGGGAGAGAGAGAGAGAATCCCAATCAGGCTCCGCTCTGTCAGTGCAGAGCCTGATGCCAGGCTCAAACCCACTAACAGTGAGATCATGACTTGAGCCAAAGTTGGATGCTTAACCTACTGAGCCACCTCAAGTTGGCTTTTAATTTCATGAAGTATAAAGAGCTGAATTCCTGACTTTAGGGTATGGGGAATATTATGATGTTAACTCTTGAAGGGATTGCTTACCTATCCAGTCTAATGAGTGGATTCATAAACATTTTAGGGGACAGATATGAAGAAAAGAAAATGGCAAGGTATATTTAATTGGAGAAAAGAAGATGAATAATTTACCTATTAGTGAAAATTCTTTTATATGTATATGGTTTCTAGACTATTATTTCATATCAGAATTACTTTTTCATAGGTGTCACAAGAATGTGAATCTGAGAGATGAAGGCCTTACAATAAATAAGAAGTTTTTTATTCCCGACTTTCTATGACAATCTACATTTCTGAGTCACTGGATTTGCTAATTCTTCCTAGGGCAACACTTCTTTCAGCTCTTCATGATTTTGTTTGGAAGTGAAGATGTGATTTCTTGTCCAAACCAATTACAGTTGGAACAATAATTCACCAAAATGTTACTATCACTTGTTACGGCATCAGCGTCAAACAACAATGTGTGAAGAAATTGCTATGGACAATATCTTGAGTATGAATATAAATATATTTTACAAGTTAAAATGTCCTCATCGTGACAATTTAATGTTAAGAAGTTTGGCCAAGTTTCCCTGTATTTTATATTTCTTATTCTGATAATCAACTCTCTAACTTCAATGAGTTCCTTATACTTTGTGTTCTTTATTTCTACCTCTGGGGTTCTGCAACAGGAGTGCTAAAGTCAAGTCTATTGCATATGCACATTTCAATAGGAGCAAAAAATAACTAAGATGGTTTGGAAGAAACATTGATTTCTAGTTAACACTGGCCTATAAGGGCAACAAAAGTATGAAGTGTGTCTGGCTTTGTTAATGGTCTCAACCTTAGTACTTAGGTCAATAACTATCCACATGGGTACTTAATAAATATTACCAAAACGAATCAATGACTATGTAAATAAAACAGTTCTTTACAAGCATGGTCTACATCCAGCTGGAGGCCAGCATGTAAGTTTACAGACCCGCTCCACCCAGACCGATTCCCCAGGAAGCCCTGGCTTTGGATTGTGAGCAGTAAGAAGTGCGCATCAAGAGCGCCTGGGTGGCTTAGTCGGTTGAGGTCATGATGTCTCCCTTTGTGGGTTGAACCCTGACAACGCATAGCCTTCTTCGGTTTCTCTGTTTCCCTCTCTCTGCCTTCTCCGCCTGAAAAAAAAAAAAGGTGTCTGTCCACTCTCGCTAAGGGAGGGCCTTATACCACCTCTCCACAACCGGCTACCTGCGCGCCTTAGGACCCAGGCCTCAGAGTCCAGCCTTTAGGACCCGGCGCAGCACGGCATGAAACTTGGAGGCGGGATTAGGAGAAGCCGTCGCCGTCGCACACACATGACGTAAGCAGCTGGCGCCAGCAGTGGTGAGGCAGCCGAGAGTAGTGGATAAACCCTTTTCTCGCTTGCCTTGGTTCTTACGCACCATGGCGGCCCCGGTCCAGCAGCCCAGCGGTGCAAAGCGCAAAGGGAAAGCTCAGTATGTGCAGGCCAAGCGGGCGCGGCGCTGCGACGGCGGTGGGCCACGGCAGCTGGAACCCGGGCTTCAGGGCATTCTCATTACCTGCAACATGAACGAGCGCAAGTGCGTGGAGGAGGCCTACAGTCTGCTTAACGAATACGGCGACGACATGTATGGGCCGGAGAAGGTACGAGCCCCAGAAAGGGCAAGCGGGCCTCTGAGGAATGAAGGGAAGGCTGCAAGGCCGGCTGTGTTCTGCGCGTGCGCGAGTTTTGTGGCCTGATCTGTGTCCTGCCTTCTCGCAGTGTCCGGGTTGCAGACCGCTGCCCTGTCGCGTGCTTGAAAAGCTTGCCCATTTTTGTTATTTTTCCTATTGTTAATCACAGTGACTGCTGTTTATAGATTGCTTCTGAGATCCACGTGTTATGTTTCTGAAGCCCTCAAAGAAACGTTTACTTCTCACGATAGACTTGTGAAGTAATATTCACGAGGACCCTGAAGCTCAAGTAGGTTAATAAACGGTCCAAATTCACAAGGGAAACTTGCTTCGTCTTCATAGTTTTTACCGTATCTTACCACCATCTTTACACAATGGTTGTAATAATTGGCCTAAGCATTGTCTCTGAAATAGTGGGGTTAGTACTGGTGTTAGTTATTTTTCAAATGCGCGTGCAAATAAATACGTTTTATAAAGCAAAAACCTTTGTACCAATACCACGTAAGATATAATTGTCTCAGAACAGCTTGGAAATCATTATAGTCTTGGTCTAGTATCTGGACTCATACGGAAACACCTCAACGAATTAAAAGGGGAGGATAAGTAATACAGAGGGGATTTGGATTCAAGTACTGTTATTTACTAGACCATGGGCATGGGCATATTATTTACTTCTGCTGAGCTAGATAAAAAAGAATAATGATAGTATACTTAATGTTGGCTGAGAAGTTACTTTTGTACATAAATAATAGAGGTTCCATAAGTGTGTATAATTATTACTAGTTCCTGACTGGCAAACTCCGTTGGTAGGGCAGAGAACTGGTGGGCAACAACTGAGTGTCTTGTCTATACTGATATCTTTTTTTTTTTAATTTTAATTTTTTTACAAATAGTTTATTGTCAAATTAGTTTCCACATAACACCCAGTGCTTATCCCCACAAGTGTCCTCCTCCATGCCCATCCCCCCTCCACCCCCCATCCATCAGTCCTCAGTTTTTGTCAGCATTCAAGAGTCTCTCATGGTGATATCTTGAGCAAATTCTCAAACTATTTCTGTTCCCTCTTAGTAGAATAGAAGTAAGGGTTTTAAATGCCATAACTGGTTGGTCTAATCTCACCACAAGAAGACTGCCTCATTAGGCACAAAGATATCTAGTGATGGGATTTAAGGTTTACCTTGAAGTAATTCATTTGGTGAGCACATTTCCCTGTGTCCCAGACTGTCAAGATGTTTTTGAAAGCATTTTCAAATTATATGTACCCCAGTCTGAGGAAACTTCCTTTTTTCCTCTGTAGTTTGAAGGGAGTGATGTGTCAGTTTCTTAATAAAAAGCTTTATTGTAAGTGTTGATCCATCTGCCACTGGAGGATTCACATAAATAGTTATAGCTTTTAACATGAGCTGTTTTGGCATTTCTACTCATTAATTTTATGAAAACAGTTTACAGACAAAGATAAGCAGCCCTCTGGAAGTGAAGGAGAAGATGATGATGTGGAGGCTGCCTTGAAGAAAGAAGTTGGTGACATTAAAGCATCTACAGAGATGAAGCTAAGAAGATTCCAGTCAGTGGAGAGTGGAGCAAATAATGTAGTCTTCATCAGGACGCTTGGGATAGGTGTGTCTAATAAGCCTTAAGATTATTGAGCCTATAATATTTAGACATCCCTTGTCTTAGTGAACACTGCCTAAAAAATGGCTTCATGGTTATGGCTCAAGTTAATCATTTGAATGATCTTCTTCACACTGTTTTAGCACCAAGCATATAGAAAGGTAGAATGGGGTGGTGAACATAACATTGGCTTAAGAGTGGAAACCTGGCTTTGCCAATTGCTTTGTATGTAACTTTAGGTGAAACAAGAGTACATATTCTGTCTAAAAGGAGCAGCTGCTGTTCAGCCCCAGCCAATTTGGAATGGCTCTAGCCATCTGGAATGTAGTCCTGATAGGGCCAGATCTTCTGATTTTTTAAAAGAAGTTGGAAATCTGAGAAGCTTGTACATTTTGTAATGTAGTTAACTAATTTAAAAGTATTGGGGGCGCCTGGGTGGCTCAGTCGGTTAAGTGCCCAACTTTGGCTCAGGTCATTATCTCGCAGTCTGTGGATTTGAGCCCCACATCGGGCTCTGTGCTGTCAGCTCAGAGCCTGGAGCCTGTTTCAGATTCTATGTCTCCCTCTCTATCTGCCCCTCCCCAGCTCATTCTCTGACTCTCTCTGTCTCAAAAATAAATAAACATTAAAAAATTAAAAAAAAGTGTTGAAAACACCGAGTAGCCCCAAATAGACTCGTATGTAGTCAGGATGTGGCCTCAGGACCGTATGATGATCTTGTGTAATTCATGGTCTTGGGGCTCCTCTGAGTTCTGAGATCTGGATTTTTGTACAAATTTAATCAATGGATGAGTTAAATGGTTTTTATTTTTCGGTTTTTTGTTTGTTTGTTTTTCATTTATTTATATTTGGAGAGAGTGAGTAGGGGAGGCACAGAGAGAGATGAGAGAGAGAATCCCAAGTAGGCTCCACACTCAGCAAAGAGCCCAGCGCAGGGCTCAGTCCCACAACCATAAGATCATGACCTGAGTCAAAATCAAGAGTCAAATGCTTAACCTACTTAGCCACCCAGGCACCCCTGAATTAAATCTTTTAAAGTAACTTGCAGATTTTGTTTTGTTTGTTATTATATTTTAAAATAAGTGTGCTATTTAGTAACAATATGTTGGTAGTTGTGCTGTTGTTGAAGGAAAACTGTATGGTCTTGTTTGGACAAGTCAGATGTCACAAAAATGTTAACTCCGGTGTCTTCATGAACCGTTGTTTTTAGTGAAAGCAGTAGTAATGCTGAAGAGTTAACATATTAAATATAGTAGTAATCATAGGCAGTGAAGAAAGTTGGAAAAACTGTTTGATTAGACTTATTAATGTTCATTGTGATAATTTCTTCTATACTGTTGATATAGGTCACTGCCAATAAAAATTCATTTGGAGAGTTTGAAGAGGTTTTAAAATGTCTGAAAGCTTATATTCTTGTTCTTTTTGTTTTGTGTTGTTTTTTTGCTGATTTTTTTTCTTTTTCTCTCAGAACCTGAGAAATTGGTACATCATATTCTCCAGGATATGTATGAAACCAAGAAGAAGAAGACTCGGGTTATTCTACGAATGTTACCCATTTCAGGCACGTGCAAGGCTTTCTTAGAAGACATGAAAAAATATGCAGAAACATTTTTGGAACCCTGGTTTAAAGCTCCAAACAAAGGGACGTTTCAGATTGTATATAAATCTCGAAATAACAGCCACATGAATAGAGAAGAAGTTATCAAAGAATTGGCAGGTATGTTTCTCTTAGTGATTTTATATTAGTATTTAATAGTAAATACTTGCTCTTGTTTCTAGGAATTTTTTTTTTTTTTAAGATTTAAGGCTTATATTTTTGGATGTAAAACAAGTGTATACAGTGTTTACAGTGTAAAATAAGGGTGCATAGTTGGCTCAGGTGGTAGAGCATGTAACTCTTGATCTCAGGGTTGTGAGCTCGAGCCCCATATTGGGTACAGAGATTACTTAAAAAAAAAAAAAAAAAAGTTCCTAAAATAATATCAGACCTAACAGACTTGGATGAGACTTTCCGGTAGTTAGATATTAAATCTTCCAAACCAAGATTGAATTTTCTTTGGGAAAAAAAAATTATTCTGATTAAATGTCTCAGGATTTCATTTGTATTTGTTTATTGAAAGAGTTCACAGCGTTTGATGGAGGTCCATGTAGAAGAGTAGACTAGTCTGAATATTGCTTTAACAAGTCACAAATGCAAAGATGAAAGATTGTATTTGTATCTATCAAGCTTCATGGTACCCTTCTCCCTCTAAGCATTTCTTATTCTTTTTGTTATAGGAATAGTAGGCAGCCTCAATTCGGAAAATAAAGTAGATCTTACCAATCCACAGTACACAGTGGTAGTAGAAATCATTAAAGCTGTCTGTTGCCTCAGTGTTGTGAAAGATTACATGTTGTTCAGAAAATATAATCTCCAGGAGGTGGTGAAGAGCACTAAGGACTCATCACAGCTTAACCCAAAGCAGCCAGTACAAGCAGGAAATGGGAAAGAAGCTAAATTGGAATCTGGTGACATATCAAATCAAAATGACCCAGCAGAAGGAAAAAATGACCAGCAAGTGGTACCAGAAAATAATGAGGAGCCGGGGCAGATGAAACCAAGATCTGAGACACAGGAGGTGAATGAGGGAGGGGCTAAGCCTGAACTTGAAAATCAAGTCACAGAAGGATCTGAGTCAAATGAAAATGACGTCTCATAGGAAAAAAAATCATTTGATGTTGCAGGTGGGTTTTTCTGATGGCATTTGGTGAGATATTGCTAGGATTCCACAGAAAATTGTGACAAAATACAGTTTTTGAACTTATGTGCTTTATAATGCTGTACTCAGAATAGTGAACAATGATTGAGCAGCCCCATTAACAGTTATGTCGGAGATCTTTTCAGCCCCATGTGCCGGTGTGCAGTTAGGCTTACATGAATTTGGTTGAGCTGGGAGAAACTGTGGATGATTGGTGAGCACTTGCATGGAGGGGTGGATGACAGGAGGATAATGTTGGCCTCTCCTTCATGATTACTTTCCCCAGTCTCCCCTTCTGAACTGCCATCTGACTTAACTGGAGCAAACAAACTCTGTAAAAGACACACTCCTAGGGAAATTTTCATTCTAAGGAAGGGATTTTTACATGTTGCAGTTCAGCTGTCCCCTGCCACTTTGTTGTAAACATTGTAAAAACATGTCTTCTGGGTTAGAAGTGAATTGTTTTTGTGAAGTTTTTGTATCTTTTTGTGATTCTTACTTAGAGTTACTTTGTAACTCTTACTTAGTTATTATGCCAGATTTTATATTCTATCCGCCTTTGTTAGCAAACAAATCTAATAATCGAGTGCTGCAGTTTTTGAAGTCATGGTATAAGATAAATGAGGACCATTCTAGGCATAGAAATACATTTCTGTTGAGGTTAGTGTTGAAGAATTCGTTTTCTGTGATACTTCCATATGTCATGCAACAAGGGATACAAATTATTTCTTTACAGTGAAAGCTCCTTTTCAGTGATCTTATATGGATTTATACTCCAAGCTGTTCTCTTGCATTGTACATTGTCTAGCTGTTCTCTTGCATTGTACATTGTCTGTGGAATGCAACTTACAAACCTAGCATTTGCTCCAGCAATTGTAACTATAAATCATAGCCATTTGATAAGTAAAGATGTCGATTATTTTAAATGGCATCTGTAATATCAAAACAGTAAACTTTTGTTTGAAAAATCACATTCAGCGGCACCTCATTGGCTCAGTTGGTAGAGCATGTGACCCTTGATCTCAGAGTTGTAGGTTTGAGCCCCATGTTGGCTGTAGAGATCACTTAAAAATAAAATCTTTAAAAAAAAAATCATATTCAATAAAAGGTTCAGGAAGCAAAATTTTAGTAGCAGCACTATATTAGAAAAGAAAAATTGACATACTAGGTAAAAATCTAATAATACCAATATAACATTAAAATGGGAGGGCAAGAAGCAGTATAAGAAATTGAAAACCCTTCACTTTCAGTTTAATAAATTGACTGTCCCCTGATGCTCAAGAGGTTTGTGTAGTTAACTGCAGAGCAGTAGCTTCTCTGTCTGGGTTGATGAGTCAACAGATTTCACGAATATTTGTCCTACTGTTGCCTTCGTAAGGTTGGTGAATGATGACAAAATTCAAGAAAGCTTGTTCTGTCTGCTATGAGAGCCTCTCAAAGGCAATATAAATTTAATGGCTCTTTATATCTGAAGACCGAAGGTCTGTCATCTCTACTCCCGGTGCTCATTCATGGTTGACTCCATGACCAGTTTTGCCTCATTCTGGTAAAAGAAAATGCTGATGTTGATGTTACAGCACACTGCTTTCTTCCCAGAGAGGTGCTGATATAAAACAATTGGAGTCGAAATGAAGAAGGTTCTGGATAATGCTGCAGAAATGGTTAACTTTATTATGACCCATTTATGCAAGAATGTTTAAAAATAAATAAAACTCAAATCTGAACAAGGAGCACATAAATCTACATACAGAAATCTAGTGGCTTGTTAGAAGCGTTCTCAACAGGATATTGGAGCTGAAAGGTGAATTGCCAGAGTACTTCTAAGAATATACTAGGCCAAATTTTGCGGAGTGCTTTGGAGATGAAAGATAGCTAAGACACTAGTCTATTTAGCAGACATTTTTTATCACATGAACAAACAAAACAAGTTTCTGCAAGGTTCCGGAGAAAATGTATTTTCTTACGAGTGATAAGATTCTTAAATTGATAGGAACTGACTTCTTGGAACAGTCACATCGCCAAAGGAACTCTTAAAATGTTTCCATAGCCACTTGGCCTTGAGAATGAAGAAAAGATAGCAACAAGTCTGAGGCCTTAACTGAAACTCTCTGTGAAGAACTGCAAAACCAAATTAAACAGTCTTTCCCCCTCCTTTTCTCTTTTTTTTATATGGTTTATTAATTTTTGAGACAGAGAGACAGAGCATGAGAGGGGGAGGGGCAGAGAGAGAGGGAGACACAGAATCTGAAACAAGCTCCAGGCTCTCAGCTGTCAGCACAGAACCTGATGCGGGGCTCGAACCCACAAACCACAAGATCATGACCTGAGCCGAAGCCGGACGCTTAACCAACTAAGCCACTCAGGCGCCCCATCCCCTCCTTTTCTCAACACCTGTATATGACTGGGTGAGAAACCCCTTCTCTGAATCTAAGCCTGAAATTTTGTCCAGAAGAAGAGAAAGAACTCTCTTGAGTCATAGTCCAATAGTTCAGGGTTTCTGTGAAATAAGACTATCCTTAACACTCACATGCCATGACACTTAATTTGAAAGTTTTTTCAAGGTTTTCTCCAGGGTAAAACTACTGAAAAAAAGCTGGAAGAAACTCACCAAAGAGGACTGCATAATAAAAAAATCCATGTTGAAAATATTAAGAGACTGTGAAATTCACTGTTAGGTGGGTTTATTTAAGTTTTAAGAAGTTCAGAAGTATTATAAGTGTTGATTGAGTCTTCCTGCATCGATGTCTATGTCTGTTTAATGGCCAGGGAATGTGGGAATGTATTTTTATCCTCCTAAACTAGTGGTCCTGCTTGGTAAACCAGACTAGAAGGATTAGGGAGGGGAAAAGACTATAGATTGGACCCTGGTAATGGAGACGAGGCTGCAACTTCCTTCTAGACCTTTAGGTAGAGTGTTAACTCTTAATAGGTTGAGGTCATCTCAGAAGGATGATCAGAGCATTGTAACTGTCATTTGTATGAACACGGAGGATAGGATTTTGGTGCCTTCATCAGACTTGCTCCAAGACAAAGATACTTTTATTTTGATCATGCAAGACTCTGGGACTCTGGGACTAAAATTGGTCATATGCTTACAGAACATCCAAGTGTGTGGAACTGGGTTCCTTTTACTTTGTTAAAGCTGCTACTCTACAGAAAAATTTTTATTTAGTAGTTTGTTTTAATCCTCTTGTATTTGTTTTTATTTGGTAAGACCTGCGACAAAAGCTATTCTTCCTAGCTGTAAAGCACTGTGTTCTGTTGGAATCTGATTTTATTCATTGATGCATTTTCAGGTTCCCTGGTTTTATCGTCACTGACATTTGAGCATGTTTTTTTATAAGTGACAAGATTCCAGGGTGGGAATTGAGTGTTCTTTTCTTTTTTAAGTTATATCAGGTTAAAAAAAATCAAGTAAATTTGTTTTGCTTTATGGAGGATAGGGTGTTAAACTTGTTATTTTGAGACATGTTTGTTTAAGGTTAAACATGATTTCTAGATGTTATTTGTATTTTGCTGTTGTTATAACCAGACATTTAGCTTGTTTTTCATAGTTCCTGATATTTTCAGAAAAATCAAAATAAATGTGTTCCCTAAAGATTGGTGTTCTGTGCTTTTTCTTTCTTTCTGCCTCTTAGTAAATCTCTTGATTTATATATATCTATATATTTTTAAATTTTTTAATATTTATTTATTTGAGAGAGAGAGTGTGAGCAGGGCAGGGGCAGAAAGAGAGGGAGACACAGAATCTGAAGCAGGCTCAGAACTCTGAACTCTCAGCACAGAGCCCAACATGGGGCTGTGGGGCTCAAACTCATGAATGGTAAGATCATGACCTGAGCTGAAGTTGGATGCTTAACTAACTAAGCCTCCTAGGCGCCCCATAAATCTCTTGATTTATAATAAACATCTCATAAAAGATGTTTTTATATCAAATTACTTATCAACAAATACATTGTCCTAAAAAGTATAGATAGAAAATATTTAATAATTGCTCTTGAATAATTACTTATTAAGCAATCCAAACTTTACACAAATTTGCTTTAAAAGGAGGTATAGTAATACAATACTCAAACTTTTTTTAATGTTTTATTTATTTCTGAGAGAGAGAGAGGCAGCATGAGTAGGGGAGGGTCAGAGAGAGAGGGAGACACAGAATCCAAAGCAGGCTCCAGGCTCTGAGCTAGTCTCCAGCACAGAGCCTGACACGGGACTTGAACCCACAAACCGTGAGATCATGACCTGAGCCGAAGTCAGACGCTTAACCGACTGAACCACCCAGTCTCCCCTACAATACTCAATTAAATGCACTCATTTGACTTTTGGATTCTTTACATTCCTTATTTTAACATTAATATTTTAATTCACTTTAAAGAACTAATAAAAAGATTTTAAACAGAAGAAATTATTTTTTTTAATTTATTTATTTTTGAGAGCGAGCGTGAGCCCAGGAGGGGCAGAGAGAATGGGGGACAGAGGATTGAACTAGGCTCTACGTTGACAGCAGAGAGCCCATTGTGGGGCTAGAACTCATGAAGTGTGAGATCATGACCTGAGCTGAAATTGGATGCTCAACTGACTGAACCACCCAGGTACCCTGAGGAAAATTCTGTTTAGAACTTTTAGAATAGTTCTTTTTTTTTTTTTTTAATGTTAATATTTACTTTTGAGAGAGAGAAAGAGTGTGAGCAGAGGAGGGGCAGAGAGAGGGAGATGCAGAATCTGAGGCAGGCTCCAGGCTCTGAGCTGTCAGCACAGAGCCTGACACAGGGCTCGAACCCACAGACCGGAGATCATGACCAGAGCCGAAGTCGGATGCTTAACCAACTGAGCCACCCAGGTGCTTAGAATAGTTCCAGTCTTTATTTTGACTTAATCAGGTACAAGATAATTCACTGTCCACTGTGTTTTTCTAAGTAATCATTTGCTATTTTAAACCTTGCAAATCATTAAAATCATTGTCTTTGTTAGTTTGGTCATTATAACAGTTTTCTTCCCAGTTGTTTTTAGATTTTCGTTTATTTTTTGGCTAAGTGCAAAACAAAAAATTGAGTTTTTCAACCAGGAAAAATCTAAGGCATTTTAAAGAGACTAGTCACTAAATTATCAGGAAGCAAGGACCAAAAGAAAGTAGGCCTATAACAACTTAATGCCATAGTCTCTTATCAGGCTTTGTTCGACCCCATTCATGGTCTCTCAAAACGTTGCGTTTGATTTTCCCGGTGATTGTCTTTGGGAGTTCTGGAACAAATTCCACCTAATTAACAGAGAAACAGATTATGAGACACTTGATTACATTTTGACAATTCCAGTTGTCAGTATAATAGGGAGAGCTTTCATGAAACTGGCGTGAAGTTTGAGTCTAGGGGCTGTTTTAGCCTAAGCTCATTGCATTTCTTGTGTTTATATAGTAAAGTTGACAATGGAGCTCCGTGATGGGTTTTTAGTGCAAAGGCTATATGCTTTGTCAGAAGAATATAATAATTCCTTTACTCTATTGCTTCCCCATCCAGTTCAACTGGACATAGGCCTCCACTACCCCAGGGAAATAGAGGCCACACCTAAATGCACAAGGAAACAAGTTAATTCTTGGGGTTAGGGCTTTTAAGAACTAGGTCCTATAGTTTCTGAGGGAGATTTTTGAGAGATAATTTTGAGTACACACAATTATCCCCTTATGCTCATGGTAAAATCCTGTTTTCATTTCCCTCCCTCAAGATGTAACTATTGTATTTTAAAATTTCCTCAAACAACATCTCTGAAAATCAAATGTCACAGATTTAGTAAAGTTAATGGAGAAAGTGTAACAATTCTTAGGTCGAGGTTATCTACCTTTTGGTTGAAATACCAATTAAAATGGAATTCTCATGTTAAGGATCAATATCAACCAATTGTATTAAGGGATGAGAAGGAAGGAAGTTGCAGTGCCATCTCTATGTTTTTATATAGACTTATTCTTAAATCCTCCCTTGAATAAGAAGGTTTCAAGAAAGATTCCACAGTTTCTTTGGATAATTTTTTTTTTTTTCTGAGACTTAAATTTGGTCAGTTTGATACCTAAAGGCCTATGCTTTGAATTTGTAAAGGTATTCTGGATGAAGAGTGCCATGATAGTTGAATCAGATACTGTTTCCATTTTTTAAAAATTTAAGTTTATTTGAGAGAGAGAGAGCATGAGAGGGGGAGAAATGGAGAGAGAAAATACCAAGCAGTTTCCATGCTCAGTGTGGAGCCCGCCCTGGGGCTCTGTCTCATAACCGTGAGATCATGACTTGAGCCGAAATCAAGAATTGGTTGCTTAACTGACTGAGTCACCCAATGTTTTTAAAAACAATTTGCCATTATTTTTTTCTCATGGAATGGTACTGCTTAGTCTTATAAAGATCTTTAGTAGTTACTCAGTATTGCAGAGTTGATCAAAGCTAGTTTATCAAAAACATTTGTAAGTGTCCTAAAATAAATTTTCTAAAGCAAGATTGTTAGGGCAAAACAAGTTGAAATAGTATCTTCTACTTACATACTGAGCAAACAAAAAGTCACAAGCTAATAAAATCTGTGTACTTACAACCTTAGTCCCTTGTTTGGTGACACATTAACTTTTGGGCAAAAATACTTGCCTTTCTTGGATATTTGTAAGGTGCCGTTGATTTTTTCACATGATCCTGAAGTTCAAGAGTTAATTTCTCTGGGTTGGATGATTTAAAGGGTGCAGATAAGACAACGAAAGCTTTCACTACCTGCAGGAGAAAAGTCAATTTATATTAATGTTTGTTTTTCAAACAAATCAAGAGTTTGGAGCCAGTGCTGAACACAGGTACTTATAATTATTTGTTAACAGCAGCTTGAGTGATGAATGCAAATCCAGAGCTCAGCTCTGAAGAGAGCTTGGATACAAGTGAGATTTTGGGATCTAATTCCATATAAATGGTTCTGAGTGTGAGGAGTGCAGTGTTTCAGTAAGGGTAAAGTTTGAGTTTTATTTACATTTCCACATGCATTTGACATTTCAGTCAGACCAATCCTATATTTTATATACGCAATCCTTGATTTACAGATAACCACTTATTTCAAACCTACACTTCTAACAGTGTATGTAATAGTATATGTAATAAGGGGGACAAATGGAGTTCCCAGAGAAGATGGTTTGAAAGGGGTTTGGGGAAGCTTAGTGGAGGGATTTTGTATGCTGGGAGATGAACTCTCAGGAAAGATCAGTCTACCTCTGAAAGTTTTTTCTTGCCTTTTTTTTTTTTTTTTTTTTTTGCTTCTCTTTGGAATACTATTTAAAACCCACTAATTAGATAATTATTGAGGCTAGTTAAGTATAAATTATTAATTATTCCTCCATTGATTCCAGTTGGTGTTACTTCTAATGTTCAGCTGAAATCAGCTATATTGAGAATATGGTGGCAGGAGAAAAATACTCTGGAGAATGGAATTCATTGAGCAGGGAGGTGGTACAAGAGGTTTGAGCATGGGATCCATAAAGTCACTACAGAGAGTCACTGGTATTTGAAGGGCAGTAGAGGAAGAGATGTGGGAGGATGCTGATACATAAACTGATTTTGAAATTTTGCTACTTACTGAGTCTGTAAGAAGTTTCCTTAAGGAAAGGAAACATCTCCCTTTTGTAGCCTAAACCTAAGGCTATTTCTCTTATTCCCTGGATTCCCTTTTATTAGGACAAAAGTAGGCTGTGGGACTTGTTTGGGAATCTGGCCACAATCTCCTATTTCCATTGTTCCTGTAACAAAATGTATTCTGATTTCCCATGAAAATAGTAAAATTTGCTATTTTTTCCTTCTATAGCATCTGTTCCTTTAATGGTACCCTGATTTTCCTATAGAACATTACCCTAACTTCTCTCTCTAATGGTGTTGACACTACCTTCAGTGACTGGCATATGATCCAGTTCTGGCCAGTGAGCATGTACCATTCCCTGGACACGTTGGTTAGATATGTGATCTAAGATAGGCAAATGTTATTCTGGGAGTTGCTTGGAGCTGTCTCCTTTCCTGGTTGTTAACCTGTGTGCATTTGGAGTGGTTGCTGTCAAGTAGGAAGAACCCCTCCTGAATGGAACCAACCTAAAGAACAACAGCCAAGAGATCGAAAGAGATGGTTTTGCTAACTTCACATGAACCCTTGGATGTAGTTGTACCTGAAGACTTCACTTATCTGTGAGCCAGTAAATTCCTTTTTTAAAAACTAAAGTCAGTTTGAGTTGAGTTTCTGTCACTTGCCTCTAAAAGAATACTAATACATCTCCTTTGAGATGCAACTCATTTGTAAAGATTGGATAGTATACATTTTTGGCACATGTGTGCTTCATAATGAGAACTATGGGACTATTCTTGATTCACTCTTTAACATGGTCAAATGGATAGAACTTGAAAATATGAAATTGCTACATTAATGACATTTGTTCTACCTCTCCTCTGATTGGATCTGGACTACTGACAACAGCTGATTCAACAACTGCTGGGTGCTCAATTAGTGCACTCTCCACTTCAAATGGCCCAATACGGTACCTGGAAGAGGAAAAGAAGCCCTTGGTCACTACACCACCCAAATAAGAGATCTCCCCTACAATCAGTTACTTCCTAAGAGTAACAAACATACAAACCCAGAGGATATGATGACATCATCAGCTCTACCGACAAACCAGAAATACCCGTCACTATCCATCACTCCTCTGTCTCCAGTGACATAAAAATTCCCTCTTATCGTGGCAGCAGTTTTCTGTGGATTGTCCTAGGAATCAAAGATGACTCAGAATCAAAGATGGTCAGAATAGAGAAAGGGGCATGGAGAGACTGGTACATTGTGTATGCTATTTCTAAAAGAAATTAATGTTTTAAAAATATGTTTCCTAATGTAGAATACAAAAGGCTCAAGAATATAATAAAAAGTAAACCCCTCTTCCACCTCTACTGCCCTCTATCACTCCCTCCCTGCCCTCTGCAGCCTGCCTACTTGTCTTTTCTGAGGACAATCACTGCAAATTGTTTCTTACACATAGAATTTAATCTTTGCGCAACTCCTAGGAGATGATATTCTCCTCATTTTATAGTTGATGAAATAGACTTGGACTTTGTGACTTGCCCAAGTTTACACAGCAACATGTAATGAATATGAAATTTGGACCCAAATATTATTCCCTATGCCACCTTTTCTATGAAAGTGTAACTAGCATATTCTACATTCTTGTACCACATATTCAGAGAAGAAACAGAAAGGCCGTGTAGACTTTAGGCTGAGAGCAATTTCCCCTTCTTTGCCAGGTGGTAGGATGTTGCCATTTTCATCTATAATCTAGAACGAAAGAAACAACTTAGGTTCCTGAAATTTTCTTTTTACAATGTGAAAACAGGTTATAAATAGTTGTACAATGACTAGTAGAAAACTGTAAAACTTTTTTTCATCTTTATTGAAACAGTCAGATATTACCCACCTGGACATCATAGGGTTTTACTCCTTTGCCCATTGAGCCTGGTTTAATTTCTTGTCCTTTCTGATTGGCACAAATTATTCCCTATTGAGAGAACATGTTTTATGTAAGGATGTAAAAATTCATTTTCTGTAGCTATTTATATCATGATAGTAAAACATAAGACTTAGTTTTGACTGGGCTGATTTTCCCAGTTACACACACACACACACACACACACACACACACACACTCACTCATTCACTCACAATCTTAGATCAGTGATTCTCAAACTGTTTACCAGAAAAACCTGGAGCATTCATTTTTCAAGCACAGATTGCCAGGCTTTTAAGGGTTTCTGATTCAGTAGACCCGGCCAGTGGGGTGTCTGAGAATTTGAATTGCTACCAAATTTCCACATGCTGCTGATGCTGCTGGTTGAAGGACCACACTTTGAAAATTACTCCTTAGACAAAGAGTACCATTTCGTGCCCCTTGGGATAAATTCCCCAATGGGGCTCTCTAGGGTCCTCAGTGTTGCTGAGAAGATGAGCTGCTCAATTCTGACCCCTAACACCTTTGAGACCTCTCTGACATGGGGAGAAGGCAGGAAGACTGTAAGGAATAATCCTAATTCCCCTCTAGCCAAACCTAGTTGGGCAATTCAGAGGTTTTGGTAGCTACTTGCAAGGTAAGGTATCCTGGGAAATTCTAAATAAAAATTTAGAGCACTAAGGGAGCTCTTCAAGGGCTCAGCCTGGGGTTGAAAGGCTCCCAATATGCTAAATTTAACTGCCCATTAAACATACCACTTCTGTCTGTCCGTAGCCCTCATACAGTTCTAGTCCAGTTTGCGCCTTCCACTGTTCCAGCACCTCTGGGTTGAGTGGCTCCCCTCCTGTCAAGCAGTGTCGTAGCTTCTTGAATTTATATCTGTAGACACAGATGTAGGGTCTTTGATGGGAGAAATCTGAGTGGCTTTCATTAAAACATTATTAGGATGTTCTAGCAACAAGCAAACGAGTTAGGAAAGACAAGTACTAGGAAGGTTCAGTCAGTAAATATTTTTGAGCATCTACTATCTTTCTAGACATGGTTGTAGGTGTGTGGCATGTTAGTAATTCAAGTAAAATTTCCTGACAGAGCTTGCATTTTAGCAGGCCATTAAAGGAGGAGAGAAGGTAGGAGAAAATGCTAATAATGATCTTAAGTACTTAATATGGGCCAAGTGATAAAACAGCTAACATTAATTGAGCACCTACTATGCTGTGGTGCTTTAGGAGCATTCTCATAATCCTCACATCCTTCTTTTACAGATCAGAAACGAGGCTGAGAGAATATAAAGAGATTTTCCAAGGCCTCACATTGAAAAAAAAAAAAGGGCTGAGTTGACTACTCTGCACTTACTATTTGTCAAGTATCTCACCAAGTTGGCCATTTCCCTGAATTCTCTCCACAACCCTATGAGGCAGCCCTTAAGCCTCTCTTGTGGATGGAGTTAAGGGAGACTTAGCAAGGTCATCTTGAGTGTTTGAGGCCACACTATCAGTAAATAGTGGAACCCTACTTGTTTGGCTTTGGAGCTTGGGCGTTTAGCCACTGGCCTTACTACTCCACTGCCCACTTTCTCAAGTGAGAAAGTCGAGAAAGTCTGGAATAGCCCAGCTCCAGTGCACTGAGATGTCCAATGGGCAGGACAGGAGTTGTGCCTATTCAAAATAACCCTGGAAAGCCCTGAACTACTCTTGAAATGTGAGCAAGATGCTCACATTCAGATCTGCTTTATTTTGTTCCATAGCACTCTCCTTTCTGGGCATCCACACTTGAGGGTGCAGAGGATGGGTGAACCTATACTACTTAAATTACTTCTCTCTTCCTTTCTCATTCTCCTCATGTATTCAATCTGTATTAGTTAAGTAAATATGCATTGCAAGTCCACTAGGTGTTCAGATGATTTGGATAAACTGATTATACTCTTCAAGTCATAAGACATCATTCACTTCTCTTCAAGACAATATGAATGCAGTTGTATTTGGGGGAGGGAGGTTGGTTCTCAGACACCAGGGTTCTGGTAGTCCCTGGGAAAATGTTGAGTTGCCCCTAGAGGCTATCCTTAGGGGCAACCGGGAGGTAATTAGGAAATATCTGGAGACATTTTTGATGGTTGCACGGGAGGTTCTACTGGCAACTAGTAGGTGGAGGCCAGGCAGGATGTTGCTCAACATCCCACAGTGCACAAGACAGTCCCCGACAACACAGAATTATTCAGTCCACATGTCAATAGTGGCAAGACTGAGGAAACCTGGGCTATCTTGTGCTGAGAAGGGGAGATCTGTAATGCTGGACTATAGCTTGTGTTTGTGGTTCAAATGGAGACTTCTGCCCAAGTACCTCTTAAGGTCCTTTTGTACAAGCATCCGGTACACAGTGGGAGCGCTGCACAGGGTTGTGATGGGATAAGTGGTGAGTGTCTGGATGATGGAGAAAGACAGTTGTCAGAAATAGTTCATTAGAGGCCACAACCAGAGCCGATGTCTGCAACCCCTCATCCTCTCATTAACATGTTTCCATCTCATGATCACTACTAGCCATAAGAAAGCAAATATTTATTAGTTGTCACTAGTGACTGGATGTCTGTTGGAAACTTGCAATTATTATAAAGAATACATATATGTGGGGCGCCTGGGTGGCTTAGTCGGTTAGGCGTCCGACTTTTGCTTAGGTCATGATCTCGCGGTTTGTGGGTTCGAGCCCTGCGTCGGGCTCTGTGCTGACTGCCAGCTCAGAGCCTGGAGCCTATTTCAGAGCCTGTATCTCCCTCTCTCTCTGACCCTCCCCTGCTCACGCTGTCTCTCTCTCTCTCTCTCTCTTCTAGAAATTAAAAAATATATTTAAAAAAAAGAATACATATATGTAACAGCAAGAGACACACACAGTCAAATTCAACAAAATGTAAACTGTCAAATTTGAGACCAACACCAAAGTAGGAAATGGTTGATTCTACCTCAGGTGCAATTTACCTTTCATGGTGGAATTTTGAAACCTCCTGTCCATATATTCCTGCACAGTACTCACCCTAGATGAGAGCTAACCTACCAAACCTTTCCCAGTACTGTTTCTATAAAAGACATCAGTCTTTTTGAGTGGATTGATTAAATGTGCAAGTCATTTTCCAGACTCAGATTTGCTGGGCTGATTTTACCTCTAGCTCCTTAAAGAAAAATAATGACATAGGTTAAATCTAGAGAGATATTCATGTCTTAGACGTCCCGTGTCTAGAGAGGTTTGACTATGCCAAGTGATGAATTGACAGTTTATATTAAATTTAAGCAATTGAGAGAATGCTTTCAAGATGTATTTCTACGCTCTCTGGATCATGAAAAACTTGATCTGTAAGTGAATATCTCTACTGTGTGTACTTCCTCTCTGGATTCCAACTATTCTTAATAAGCGTGTTTTTTTAAAAAAAATGTTTTATTTATTTCTGAGAGAGAGAGAGAGAGAGAGAGAGAGAGCAGGGGAGGGTCAGAGAAAGAGGGAGACACAGAACCAAAGCAGGCTCCAGGCTCTGAGCTGTCAGCACAGAGCCCGATGTAGGGCTTGAACCCACTAACCGTGAGATTGTGACCTGAGCTGAAGTCAGATGCTTAACTGACTGAGCTACCCAGGTGCCCCATATAGGTATAAGTGTTTGTAACTAAGAATAGTGTAAAGTTATTAGAGCACTTAAAATACACACACTATCTTTGTAAAATAAGAATATTCTTATTTGATATTTATTAATACTAAATATTTAATTTATTAAATTAAAATAATTTAATTCAATAATTTAATATTAATTATTAGCATAATTACTTAATTATTTAATATCATATTTAATATTATATCAAATAATATAGATTAATAATATATCACTAACATTACTATGTCTTAATATAATATTAAGTAAATTGATTAAAATAAGAATATATTGAATATATAGTGTATTTTACTTAAATGCTATACTTAAATACTATATAATATTTAATGTTTTATTAAAAAGTATTCTTATATTTAAAATACAGGTTTCAGGACTGCAAACTTAGTTTATCCACTTAGGGCACTTTGTTAACCTGATGTAGAGACCCTAGTTCTTAGGTTACCCAGCATTTCTGTTAAGACCCTCAAGCCATCTTGTCAGACCAGTTAGCAAAATAACAGGGTGAGTAGAGCTTTTATTCACACAGGTGTGGTGTTTGTTTAATAACATGTATTTTGTTAAACATAATTGATTTTTCATGGGTGAAAATAATTGGCCTGAATCACATCTTTCTAAAGGCTAAAGAAATCAGAGCAATCTGATACCTCAATCTAGCTATCTCTGGCTGAGAAGGAGGGACATGCCTCGTTTCAAGACAAAGATTGGGTTCTGAGAATTAACAAAGTGAGGAGCTCAGGGTGAGAGGAGAATGGAAGTTGCTGCTCTGGGAGAAAGGCGACTCCACCTTTAGTCTTCAATACGTAGGGTTTGGGATTTATCACCTATTGTTTTTGTTTCACTGAATCAGAAACCTAAGATTTGTTTAGACTTGAGACTTCTAATCTATTACTTAGAACTTTACTCTCAGTGGGACTTGAGAAATCCTGAACAGTTTGAAGCAACAGAGTGGATTCTATGCCTGAGAATGTTGTGGGTGTTCCCACTCTGTGAAATATAGTCAAAGGGCAAGTCCCTGAAGACTTCATTTCTTAAAAGGTAATTATTTCCGCAAGCCCAGGAAACTATATTCTGAACAATCATTTCTCTCTGGTTTTAGAGGAGACAAGGGAGAGATGTAGCTAGAAGCCATGACTTACATCTAAGAAGGTGTCAGTGTCAAACTGGGCCATCCGATGTACAAAGACACACGCTCCCTGAAGCCAGGACGAAAACACACTGCCAATGGCAGCCTTGATCCAGCCAGTGTCAGACATGTTCCATATGATATCTGAGGACTTCAGATCTAGCCAATACCTAAGTGATATGGAGAAGCAACAAGACCAAACCAAACTAAACCAAACAAAGCAAAGCAAAAAACAAAAACAAAAAACAAAGCAAACACACACACACACACACACACACACCCCAAAACAAAAACAGAAAAGCAAACAAACTGGTGTCTTTGAGAACTAGCCAGAACACCAAGGGCTACAGAGAAAGATCAAAAGCCCGAAGGCAGGAAGAGCTATTATTCTATCTCCCACTTTTGTTATTTTGTTAGACAACTTCTTCAGAATCCTAGATAATCTGAAAATAGAGTGGGAGGCTGGGTTTGGCATAATATTCTTTCTTTGGCCATTGATGCAGTAAATATTTATTGTGTAAGTATATGCTAGGCACTGTTCTCTCTAGCATAGTGAGTTAGACCAGATATCTGCTCTTACTTCCGAAAGACAGATAGCAAATAAGCACACAATAAAATGAATAAGAATATAGATCAGTATCATAATATCAAATAGTGATAAGTGCTCTGAGGAAAATAAAACAGGTAGGCTGATAGCTTTAAGATATCTAGGAAGGCCTTTCTGGGTAGGTAAGCTTCTATGGCAGTGATAAGGAGTCAGACACACTGTTGTCGAGATGTGGTCAAGGTTGATTCCTGTACATCACCCTATGCTCATCAAAAGTGTACTCCTTAATTCCCATAACCTATTTAACCCATAGTTCTTGCTTGATCAGTTGGTGAGATGGTGCGTTTTACTGAGCTAAGGTTGGGTAGGAGCATCAATGGTTCTCTTTTGTAGACATTACACTGGAGAAATCTAATAAGCACCCAATTGGAGGTGTCAACTCAGTTGGATACACATGTTGGCAGCTCAGGGGAGAGAGAGAGTTTAGCAAAAATGGTTTTCCTCCCTACCTTCCACAGAGGGTGTACCCAATTCCGAGGCTGCTCTGAGAGTGCTGGGCCATCTTGGGAGCACCTGTGGTCCCACTGGTGAAATAAATGGCCATTGGTTCTTGACTTCCTGTTTCTACACAGCTGTGCTCTGCAGAGGCGGATCTGTAAAATATGGATCCCAACATGGTGGTTGAAGATGGCAGACCAGTTTAACTCCAATGTGTGTGTGTGTGTGTGTGTGTGTGTGTGTGTTTCCCCTTCTCTGCTGCTTATGTCGTCTTGATACCAGAAAAGAGTTAATAGAACAAAACCTAATCCAAAGCTTCCCTGAGAGAAAATTCTCAAGAAATCTTAAAGGGACTTATAAATCAGTACTAAGCTTTAACAACCCATTTGCCTCTTTTTTTAAGTGCCACCTGTGTATAGGTGATATAGATAGCCAAGATGATTTTCAAAATTAATGACAAAAGGATGTGTATTTTATTTAAACTTTTTCTCTCAGTGCTTCTTTTAATCTATCAATTTTTCAAAAATCAGTAGTGAATATGAATTGGTTACTAACATTTCAGGAGTTTTTAGGATTTTTTAAATGTTTTTTATTTATTTCTGAGAAAGCGAGAGAGACAGTGTGAGGGGAGGGGTGAGTCAAAGAGAGGGAGACACAGAATCTGAAGTAGGCTCCAGGCTCTGAGCTGTCAGCACAGAGCCCAATGCAGGGCTCGAACTCACAAACCGTGCGACCTGAGCCAAAGTCAGACGCTTAACCGACTGAGCCACCCAGGCACCCCAGGAGTTTTTATGATTTAAAGGGAGATCTTTTGGCATTTGAATCAAACTTTTTAATACTTTTTATTCAGCATCTTCAATATCGCTGGCAGACACAGTTTGTTGCTTACCATATAGCATCCCATTCTTCTTCCTTGCACTGATAAAGCTCTGATTTTGTTCAGGTATCAGGCAGTCATATGCTTCAGGGGAGACTGTTCCTTATATAGCTCTAGGTGGTGAATCTTGATTATCCTAAGCCAATCATGGTAATTCTTGTACCAGAGACTGATTTAGGAATAAGTACATGTTGCAGTTATGGTCAAATGAGATTTAAAGGCTTTATGGACAATGTTTCCTTATTCTAAAGAGTCCTGAGGAAGGGATGCTGCCTTTCCCCACCCCTCCCATCTTGTTTTCTGGACTTTGGATATTGTTGTGAAAGTACATTATGTCTGGAACAACCCAAGCCATGTTGAGATCATAGGAGGGATTAGCAGACACACTGAGGATGGCAAATGGAAAGATGACTGAATCTGGGTTCATGCTAATTTCATCAAACCACTAAATAACGAACTGTCATTATGCTCTACCTCTGTACTTCTCACTTGTCCTATAATAAAATTGTGTTTGTGTCGTTTAAGCCAATTATACTTGGGTCTCCTATTACTAAAGCCAAGAGCATTCTATGAATAGATAACAACAACAGTATCAGTGTAAGATTATCTGCACAGACAGCTCCAAGATTTCCTTCCTGCCCTGCACAACCATGCCATTCCCTCCCTGAGGAGTGGAACCTATGTCCTCTTTCCTTGAATCTGGGCTGATTTTATGACTGATTTTGATTGACAGAGTGTGGCAGAATTTCTTTGACTTCCAGCCTAGGTCCTAAGAGGCTTGGTAGTTTCCACTTCCACTGGGGGGAATGCAGCCACCACAGGAAAATGTTCAGACACTTCTGCTGGAGAGAAAGGCCACATTTGGGACAAGTGAGGTGCTTCAGCCAACAGCCAACACCAGAGCCTCAGACTTGTGAGTGAACCCCCTTAAGTCCTCAAGCTTCAGTCAAGCTGGTATAGAGAAGGACAAGCTGCTTCTGCTGAGGCCTACATGAACTTCTTCATTTTATGTTTATGTTTAATGTTTATTTATTTTTGAAAGAGAGAGAGACACAGAGTACGAGAGAGAGAAGGGCAGAGACATAGGGAGACACATAATCTGAAGCAGGCTCTAGGCTCTGAGCTGTGAGCACAGAGCCCAATGTGGGGCTCAAACCCACAAACCATGAGATCATGACCTGAGCTGAAGTTGGATGTTTAACCAACTGAACCACCCAGGTGACCCTGCATGAACTTCTGACCTACAGAATCTTGAGAAAATAAAATGATTATTGCTTTATGTCACTAAATTTTGGGATGTCCTCCTACTCGGTGAGTTCAAAGTCCTTTTTATCCTGAGATTTTGGCACCTTTAAGGGACTCACTGGCACATTGCAGAGTTGTTTAGGGCAGGGGCCTCCAAAGTAGAGGTGCTTGCCGCCCAGGGGTATATAAGATACCTGAGATGGGGAAGAAACTAGGAGAACTTCAAATTATATGTATTCTTATATTCATTCTTTAACATGTTTATTTTTGGTATTTGTATAATATACCAAAACACATGCATAAATTTACAAATTAATATACATGTTTTAAGGGAGTGTGTTAAAAATATTTTACTGATGGAGATGCATATTCAGATAATCTGGATACTATTACCTTAGGGAATCACTGCACTGCTGAATAACTTTATTAACCAAAAATAATATAAGTAATTATAATTACTGTAATATTTGTGGAGTGATTACTTTGTACCAGGCTTTACACCAAACACTTCACAGGCTTCATCACATTTAATTCTTCTACAACCCAGTAAAGTAGATATTATCCTTATCCCCATTCTGTGGATAAGATAGAGTTTCAGAGATGTTACTTGACTTATCACAAGTTACACAGCTTATAAATGACACAAATAAGATTCAGTGGCATGGCCCTTGGGAGAGAATTTTGGGATTGACTAATAACAGGAATTTTGTTTGTATTAATTAGTAGGATAAAATTTTATTTCGGAAAAGAAAACCCACAAAACACTGCCCTATTACATTTATGTCTTCTTTCTTTAAGCTTCTCTGGAAGAATTAAGAGAAAAATAAGCTATTTAATAGTTCTTTGAAGGATAATACCGTTAATTAACATTCTATTCTTTTTAAAATATAGTTGAGGAAGCACTTTCTCACATATTAGCTTATTTTATCCTCAAAACAACACTTGAGATATGTGCGGTATAATTATCCCTGTTTTACATATGATTAAAACCAAGGCTCAGTGCTTTGTTTTGTTCATTCATTCATTCATTCAGCAAATATTTATTAAGTACCAACTGTATGGTAGGAACTGGAGACAGAGTCATCAACCAAGCAGATGAACAGTGCCCCTGCTTTCTTGGAGTTTACAGTTTAGGGCAGAATTTGGCAAACAGTTTCTATAAAGGGCCGTACAGTAAATATCTGAGACTTTGGGGGTCATATGGTCTCTGTTGTAACTACTCTATTCAATTCTTTTTTTTTTTTTTAATGTTTTTAATGTTTTATTTATTTCTAGGAGAGAGAGAGAGAGAGAGACAGCGTGAGCAGGGGAGAGAGAGGGAGTCACAGAGAGAGAGGGAGTCACAGACTGAAACAGGCTCCAGGCTCTGAGCTGGCAGTCAGCACAGAGCCCGACGCGGGGCTCGAACCCACGAACCGCGAGATCATGACCCAAGCGAAAGTCGGACGCTTAACCGACTAAGCCACCCAGGCGCCCCTACTCTATTCAATTCTTAATGTTTATTTATTTTTGAGACAGAGAGAGACGACATGAGTGGGGGGTGGGGCAGAGAGAGAGAGAGGAAGACAGGGATTCCGAAGCAGGCTCCAGGCTCTGAGCTGTCAGCACAGAGCCTGATACGGGGCTTGAACTCATGAGCCACGAGATCATGCCCTGAGCTGAAGTCGAGCACTTAACTGACTGAGCCACCCCAGGCGCCCCTACTCTACTCAATTCTTAAAGATTTACAAAAACAGGTGCTGAGCCAGAATTGGCCCATGGGCCCTATTTTGCTAACCCCTATTGCAGAGGATAAAAATATAGTGGATAAGGGAAAAATGATTGGACACATACTCAGATAGTAATGAGTGCTATGAAGAAAACAAGATGATATGATGGAGTGGCTTGGAATTCCGTAGATACGGTGGTCAGAGACAATCTCACTGGGAGTAAAATATTCGAATTAAAATCTGACAGAAAGGAGTCAGCTGTGAAGAGGACAATGGGGAAGCATTCCAGGCAAAAGAAATAGCAGGTGCAAAGGCCCTAAAATGGGGCATGTTTGAGGAATTAAAGGGTGGCCAGAGGGCATCAAGGCAGGGAGAGTGGGAGATGTGATCTAGGGTTAGGCCAGGTCCAAGCCATGGAGGATACTCATCACAAGCCACAGTAGGAGGTAGGGAAATGGAGACAGAGCTACGTTTTTTCTTCTGTGCTTAAAAATCTTCTACTAGGTGATTCTTTTATGAGAAGGAGTCTGGATCAACATAGTATTGCTGTGTCCTTGGAGGAAAGGAGACTCCGAGATACAGGTGTTAGTGCTGGTACTGCAGTTAAGGCAGGGGAAAATACTCACTGAAATAATTCCTGGAAGCTGAGCCACCCATCCTGGCTGTGTGGAGACACCAAGAGTTTGGTCTTTAAGTCGGGACACTCTGACATGATGGATTCCACTGCTGGGACCACCTCCTCACTGACCACAACACACTTGGCTTTGGATGCTCGCAGCCGATAGAGAATGTCTTTTGCTGTCAGCTGGGTTGTTCCTGGCATGAAGACCAGCCCTGGGAAGGAGAAAGGGCCCTGAGCTGAATGGAATTCTTGTCCATCAGGTAAGATTGCAGACTGTGGAAATAGTCTCTATACTTGGTAGAGAGGAGTTGTGGATTGCAGCCTTTAGCTACCCCTGACTTGGTCCCCAGCGACATCCCACAGGACCCTGGTCACTGGGAGGTCATTAGAGCACTAGCTTCAGATTCTGATAGTCCCTGGGTCTAATTCTGTCCTTGCAACTTACTAGCTTTGTGACCTTGACATGTTACTTGATCTCTCTGTGCCTTCCTTTCCTTATCTGAAAAATGAGGGAAAATAATAGTGTCTGGCATATAGTAGACATTATAATAGTGTAACATTCTTGTGAAACATTTGCATCATTATTATATAATACTTAAATAGTACTTTATATCTCATAACACATTTTCATGAACATTATCTTAGTCCTCTGAACCAGTGGTCTCCAAAGTGAGTTTTGCAGGGTAATCTAATGAGGATGAGAAGAAAAATGAGAATTTAAAACATTTTATAGAGATATTAGAATTCTTTGTTTTAATCTCATTTTTGTATATATTTTATAACATGCATGCAGTATTAGTGCAGAAGAACAATATAAATGTTATATCTAGATGGGAGGATGTATGTCCCAAATATTTTTATTGATAGATTGTGTAGTCAGAAGAGCCTGGAGACCACTGTTCTAAAAACCCATGTAAGTCTATGCAGTTGTTGCCATTTGATGGAACATGAGATTGAGTCATAGTCAGTGAGGGGCAGAGTCAGCCCTCAAACCTGTGCCTTCTCCATGGCCTGGGGTCATCAAAGTTTGCTTATACTTCTTTTGCACTCCGTTGACAATGCTTAGTTTATCCCACCCACCTCTTCACCTCATTCTAAACACCGGCCTGAGATGGACTTGATTTTAAAGTAAACAGTTCCTTATGAGAAGGACATATATGGGAGAATTAAATGAAAAATAGAGGGAAGGTGGTTTGCACTTTCTAAAGTCAATCAGTGAAGGAAATCAGAGTGTATGTAAAGCACTACAAACAGCCACTAACATTTCCTGAGCACTTATTAGGCAACTGCTATCTCATTTAAAATCAGTCCCAGTGTATAGATGACAACTAGCCCAAGGGGCACAGAGTCTTTAAGTGGCAACCAGGATTCAAAGATGCATTTCCTAGATTCCCAAGACCTGTACCGTATAGCAGACTACTTTCTTGGTGAGTCTCCTGAAGTCAGCTAAATGGGAAGAAGTGGACTTTAATTCCTAGAAAGGAGACTTTATTCACTGAATATATTTTAAAAGCTTTACATGTCATTCTCCTCTTGAGAAAATGAATAAATATATGACAATAAGGAAGTTAATCAAGGAGATACCGTACAGGACCTCAGATAATGCACTCTTTATAAAAATATAAGATTATTTATTTTGCAAACACTTGTTCTTAATGGCTCAGAAATTATTAGTACTCTTGGTCGATTTTTGACAGGAGTGTGTTCGGTGCATAGTATGGGGGTTAAGGAAAAGTTCTCTTCTGGTGGATTTCAGACTTTAGCATTGTAGCAAAAGCAAAATATTTTGCCACATGGTACAATACAAGCATCTCAATATTTACTCAGAAGATTTAATGATTCTGAATTAGAAAACAATCCTCAGCTGCTTGCTTAACACTTAATTAACTGAATGTTTTTGATCATTCAGCCTGGGGGTTTGTTTTTAATCTTGGTATTTCACAAACTGCTTAAATTATGTTAAATAATACTAAGTATATTATTAATGACAAATAAACTACTTCTAATCTCCTTCCAACATACAGTTGGTTTCACATTTCCAAGTTCCTTTTTAAACTAAATACAAAAAGTACTTTATATATTGCTTTTTAAAAATTTAAATTCGTAATTAAGAGCATTTTCCAATACATATTATGAAATCCTTATAATTATCTTTTTAATGATATCCCATCAAGTTTGAGGTATCATAATTTCAAGTAGCAATAAACACACCTCTATTAAACTTTGTTTCTAAATAGTTGTTTCCAATTTTTTCTCGTTAATGACAACGTAGCAAAAATCTCATGTCTCTACAGTATTATATCCTTTAGTATTATTCCTTTTTTAAAATGTTTATTGATTTATTTTGGGGTGGGGTGCAAACAGGGAGAGGGGCAAAGCGAGAGACAGAATCTTAAGCAGGCTCCATACCCAAGTGCAGAGCCTGCCAAGGGCTCGATCTCACAACCATGAGATCTTGACGTGAGCTGAAATCAATAGTCAGATGCTCAACTGACTGAGCCACCCAGGTGCCCTAGTATTTTTATTTATCTTTAATTGATTTATAAACATTTGTGTCATGCTCTAGAGTAGGGATTGGTAAACTTTTTCAGTAAAGCACAAGACAGTAAATATTTTAGGCTTTGTGGGCCATCCCATCTCTGTCTCAATTAGCAATTCTGCTGTTGTTGAGCAAAAAGAGACGTAGACAGTATGCAAATGAAGGAGGATGGCTGTATGCCATTAAAACTTTATTTACAAAAATAGATGGCCAACCTGTAGGCCATGGTTTTTGCCGACCTTTGTCCTAGAGTGGAAAAAAATACTGTAGAATTTTTATTTGGGGTAAAATATAAATTACTACTTTAGTAAAAAATGTGTCATTGAATACATTAATCTTTTTGCCTGGAACAAGGCAGAGGTTTTCCAGCTGGGATCCACAGTCATATTCTTATAAGTCCTTGTATTCTAAAATATTTTTTCTTCCTTTAGTGTTTTTATGTCAGGGAGAATTCAAATATATTCAAAAAAAGTAAATTCAGGACCATCTGGATAAATACATCATAACTAAGCTTTTCCAAGAGTCGTTAATGTCCACATTTGCTTTGCTAGAGCTTTTGCTTAAATCCCAATTACACAGCTTTCTAGCTGTGTACCTTTGGACAAGCTTCTTAACCTCTCTGAACCTCAGTTTCCTTTTCTGCAAAATGGACATCACAATAATACCCACCTCTTTTTTCTTTCTTTCTTTTTCCTTTTCTTCTTCTCCTTTTTTATTTTCTTTTAGCAAGAAAAAACTACCCACCCCTTAAGGTAGTTATTATTATTACCTCATAGTCGCTCTTCATCCTAACTCTTAACTTTTCTGTTCTTTGTAAGCATAGACTCATTTGGAACTAACAGTTCAGGAAAACCTCAAATGTCAGTCTCTCTCTGTTTCTGCATGATTTAGAAATGTTAAATATTGGCACTGACCTGTTCGCATACAAGCCACATTTATAAGCCACCACTCTGGGATACGGGGCAGAATCACGGCCACTCGGTCTCCTCTCTTTAGGCCGCAAGGCTTGGTGAGCACGTTGGCAGCTTTTCGGGACAAGGAGCCCAGTTCTCCAAAGCTCCATTTCACCTCAGCTCCTTTGCCATTCACCCACCACAGGGCTGGGTTGGCTGGTCTCTCTCCTGTCTGGCCATGGGCACATGGGAAAGAGAGAAAGCTTACATGACTGGTCCACCAAATAAATGTGACATCTGCCATTACTTCTCAGCTCTGTGCTGGTGTATTCTGGTAACAGCAGCCCAGTTTGTCATTGGAAGACGGACTCCTCTCCTATTGAATACAGCTTAGGCGAGACAACCCATGAGGGTGATTGTCCACCCACCAGTGGGTGACATGTGACCTATGTTGGGTGAGTAAGACCTTCTGTCCCTGATTTTGAGTTTGAAAAGAACAAACAGATAGACTATAGTTGAAGCAAAACCTGTGTATGGACTCTTGGTGCTTCTATATCCCTGGGGAGCTGTCCTGCTTCCTGTTCTTGCTGAGACTGTCCAGCTGGCAACCCATTTTTGTGAGCACTTCCATGTCCAATAAATTTCTTTCTTGTTTAAGATAGATTCTGTACCATCCAAATAACCCCTATGGTTGTACTAAGGTTGATTAGGAACTAAGCATCATTTTTTTAAAAATCTATCTATCTATCTATCTATCTATCATCTATTTTTTAGAGAGAGACCTCGCACATGTATGCCCACATGACTAGGGGAGGGGCAGACAGAGAGAGAGAGAGAAAATCTTAAGCAGGCTTCACACTCAGCACAGAGGCTGATTTGGAGTTCAATCTCACAACCCTGAGATCATGACCTGAGCTGAAATCAAGAGGCAGATGCTTAACCGACTGAATCACCCAGTACCCAAACATCTTTTTCTTACCCAAAAGGCTGAGGGATGGTTTTCATAGGTAACAAAAAAACAGGATGGCTGGCCTTTGGGGGAGGCTCATCAACTAATGGATTTCTGGAGGAAATTTCTCATATGATTCTACAAAGTACACTGTCTATACTGAAAAACCTCTTCACTTTGTGTGTTACCTGGATAAAAAATTACTCCTCTTTTCTTCCCTTATCTGGAACTCTCTTTTTACCTTCCTTGGTTGGAAAATATTTCAAAACTCAATTTCAATTTAACTTCCTCTATGAAGCCTTTCTCAGCCTCCTCTTCTCCTCCTCTCTGACTTCTCTGTGTTCCTGCAACTTTGTGCTCAGATGCCAGATGACCGCATTATATTGTATTACAGTCCCTACCCTATAGGTGTAAGATCTGGGTCTGACTCATGTACTCTTAGGAATGGTGACCTTGGATTAGGAGCTTAACTTCTGTGAGGTTAACTTCCTTATTTGCAATCCCCCAGCATGGTGATGGGGATTTGGTGAAATAATATAGGTCAGTATTTCTTAATCTTTAGTCATTTGAGTATCACTACTTTTGTCAGATCTGTCTACACCTGTGCTATTGTTCTTTGTATTTTTCTTTACATTCCCTCCCTTTTACTTGTATACATTTACTTCAGAAGGAAAATGTGTTTGGTCATCACCATAATTGGAAAACCAGTACTGCTTGCTAAAAGTTGGTTACTGAAAAATAAATATATTGAAAATAAAATATACCTTTAAATTTTGTATAGAAATATTCAACTTCTATCTGCACTTTCTGTTCAAAAGAGAGTTTAGCAAGTGTAAGAGAGCTGTTATAGATGTAATGGATTTAAAGGAAGACTTTGCCCTTAATTTAACAGGAAAGATTGATTCAATGTTATTTAATACCTTGTATATCTAGTATCTGCATTTTTTCAGGCACAGGTCCTTGCAGTGAATTTTGGTAACCACTGATAGATAAGTGTTTAGCTTAGTGCCTGGTGTGGGTTGGGTCAGTAAGTAGGAACCTTGACCTGAGCTAGACTCTCAACACTTTTTACTTTATTCTTTCCAACCTCTTGTTCTCTCCTAATTACTCCAGTGATGACTATTATAAAACCAAAGCTCAAATTATTGCTTTTTCCATAAATCTGTAACCAGCCTGAACAGATGAATGGAGAGAAAAGAGCTGCTAGAGAAAATGAAGGAAAAGAGGCGGGTTCTGTGAGTAATTACCATGAGGGGGTCTGAGGAAGACCCAGAGAAACACAGCATGTGGAGTTGAGGATCAAAGATCTTCACTGGGTAGAGAGGAGGGCAGGTGGAAAACAAACAAAGGAGACCAAGAGGGATGAAATAACTGAAGTAAGAGTGACAAATGGACCATAGAACAAGGAAAGGGAAGACTGAGATACAGGTGAATACCAAGCATCTAATGGAAGCCTATTGTGTCATACCTTTTCTTTTTGGGACCACTGGTCCAGCACATCCCCAGCAAAGTTAAAGTTTTTAGGCAATGATCTCTCACAGCGATTTATGGCTTCAAAGTCAGCAAGAGTCAGAGGCACCCAAAGCTGGTGATCTTTGTGAAGGTACCGGCCAGTTGGCTTGGCAAGCCAGATGAATCTGAACATCTGATAGTGGGAAAAACGCATGATTTCCAAAGGGCTTTGTCAACTGATATGAGTGTGGAAGTTCTGCAGCCTGTGGGGAGAGATGGGTGGAGAGTGTTAGTCTCTCTGGATGCTCTGTGGTGAGACTGGGGAGTGGACTTGTGGCTGTGTGTCCCCTGGGAATTTGGGGAACATCTGAAAAACACCTCTCCCTCTTCAGGGCTGTGACAGTCAGCCATGGACTAGTCTCCCTGCCACTGATCTCTCCTCTTCATTCTGTCTGTGATCAGAGTATTCTTAAAAACAAAACAAAACAAAGGTGACAGCTATAGAATTGTCAAGCTTTTTGTCCCTACCTTCTCCCCCAACCAAACAATAAACAGTTTTGCTGTCTCAATGGACATTCATGCCCTGCCTTGTAATCTATTCTAACTGTATTTTGTAACTCCTCCACTTGAATTTACTCTTCTAGTAAAAGCAGCCCACTCACTTTTCATGAATGTCTATTTCTAGCTCTAAGATTTAATCTGTCATTCTCCTTTCTTCTGGCTTCCCTGCTTTTTTCTCCCCTCAGTCCTTCATTATAATTGGTTAGAAACCTTGATTTAAGTCCTGGCTCACCAACTTTCTGATAGTAGTACTTTGGGCAAATTGCTTACCCTTCCTGCCCCTCCATTTTCTCATCTGTAAAATGGAAGAGGGGATGAATATATAATACCTCTCTCCTAGGGTTATTATGAGGATTTAATAAGATAGTATGTGTAAAATGACCAGCATGTAAAAAGTACCTTCAAAGTGTTAACTAATGCTTTTGTTAAGATTATTTTCATTAGTACTATGGTGGTATAGGTTCATGAAATAATTTTACTTTATGCATCAGAAGACCCGGACTTCCAAACACTTTCAAAATTAGCTTTGTGACATTGGTAAAGTCATCTCTCCACTGCCATCTGTAATTTAATATTTTTAAATACTATTGTTATTTCTTCCTTTGAATTTCTATAATATGTATCAATATTCCTCACTTGACAGTTTTCTACCTTATATTATTAATTGTTGTTTTCAATATAAGTGCCTTGTCTCTGTAATTACCTAGATGGTGGGTAGAGGTTATGCATTGCATCCTTGGTACTTAACGTGACTTACAGAGTGATTTTCAATAACAGAAGTGTATGTTTATTAAGTGCTTGCTGTAGACCAGACACTTTGCATTCCTGATATCATTTAGCTTTCATGACAAGCTTTTGAGGCTGGTGTCATTTTTTTCTCCATTTTACAGATGGGGAAACTGAGACCCACATAGACTTAACTAATGTGCCCAAGGTCATCCATCTAATAGTGGCAGAGGCAAAGTTTGGACCTGTATTATTTGACCTCAGAGCCTGTATACTCAACCTCCTTTTTGCTGCCTTCTTCAATCCACGTTTCTTGCTGATGAATATTGCCTTTCAGTCTTACTTAGTTGCCTTGTATGGAGTGGAAAAATCTGCAAGTGCAAAGGGTGACTGAATCTGCCACATGGTGATAACATAAACAATAGAACAAAGGGTGCAGGGTGTACCATCCCCTCATTGTTGTTGCCAAGCCTTCTTTGCTATTTACAGTGATATCTGGAGAAGCAAAAAGCCCATTTGGTGCAAATGCAATTTACCATATTCCAGGAAGAGCTAATTATGGCAATACCATTGATATTAAACTCTCCATTATGTCAAGGAAGACAGAAAAAGGATCACCTGGGCAAGTGTGGTGGAAGTAACAAGAGTATAGAAGAGCAGGGAAACAGAAAGAATCGGGGGCAATGTTTATGATTTAGCATTTTGCTGAAAGTAAGACCCCACCTCTCTCTTAAACACACACACACACACACACACACACACACATACACACCCCCCACATGGTTGCATCCACACTTGTCTCTATGGATCCCCTTTGTCAAATTGCTTAGTATTTCCAAGTTTCATTTCATTTGTGCAATGAGAGTAATGAGAGTACCTTCTTCATTGGCTGGTTGGGGGGTTACAGTGAGCACCTTAGCATAGTGCCTGGTGGGTAGCTAGAACTCAGTAAATGCTTCACATTAAGAAGCAAACTTCAAAATGGTTTATGGCAGAAGGCTTTAGCTGTTGGATATCAAAGAAACCCAAAAACAAAAACAAACGAACAAACAAAACCTAGAAAAGCTCTTGGATTGGAGCCAACAATATTTTGGTGGTTTATTTTGCCTCTTTTAATGGCCTGTCTCTGTGCTCCAGGCTCTTGGAGCTAAACCGAGCCCCCATCAGTCTGAAGCATTCTAGACTTCACTTCCATTATTTTGACCTTTCTTGATCCCAGTTTAATGATGAATTGGAAAGATTGTCAAGACATGAGATACTTGGAATATTCTTGCTTCCTAAGAAGAATAGTGCAGATAATAGAGCAGATAGTTTTTAATGCAAATTTCCTTCATCTCCTCCAAATTGAAAAACAATGATTTTTCATGAATTGTTCTGATTTCCCATACCTCCACAGATAAATTTGCCATATCAAATTAATATACCAACAAATCTAAAACTAAATATTATAAAACAGATTTGATCTGAATATATATTTCAGCATTACCCATATTATGTACATAATCAGTGAAATAGGTTTTGCATATACAAATACAATCATTACTAATAAAATACAAATCAAGATATTACAGAGTAAGATTTTTCAGTTAAACTGTAAAGATTTTTTTACCAGTAACATTTCTTCTATCTTTTTGATTTCTGCTTTTGGTTTTCTGAGATTTTTACGGATAGGCCTTTAAGGAGACCGCGAATCTCTGAGGAGACGCCATTTTGCATTGAACACAGCCATTTCCTGGCTTTAGATCCTGGGAAGTCCGTATGATTCCAGGGTCAAATCTGAGAATCACTGACCTTTTTAGGTCAAGACATTATCTGTGTAAAAATTTGTACATAACACATGTTTTACAAAATAGTTTTACAAAATATTTCCAGAAGATATCTGTATAAGTGAGAGATTTGAAACAGGTGATTTTTAAAGCCTTAGTGATTTCCAATGTGTTAAGGGAAACTTTAACAATGAAAAGATGTTTGGGCAATTGGTGTGCACTCAGCATTATGAAGTATTTCTTAAGCACTGTCTTGTTTAATTCTCTTAACACTCTTTGGAGGCAGGCATTTTGTTTTACATATAAAGTGACTGAGGCACTGAGAGGTAAGTAATTTACCAAAGCCATTCGTCTAGAGAGCATCACCAATTCTAGTGTGCGTTTCTTGTTTCCAAAGGCAATGCAAGGAAATGCTATCATAAATATTTGCTATATTTCTATCAATCTTTGTAAAGTAGAAGAGTCAAATTTCCCTTTAATGGGACTTTTATTCAGTGTTGGATCGGCACTTATCTAATTACAGCAAGGCAATGGACTTCTCTTACTGCTGTTCTATACATTTAAACACACTTTCACAAGTTCTCATTATTAGAGTCACTTCCATGTTACCACATGCATTTTTTCCCTTACCCAAAGATGATTTTATTGTTCCAGAAAGACCTTCGGCTCCTTCACAAAGACTCAGCTCTTCATCAGCCAGAAAATTGGTTCCTTCCTTCTTTTCTTTTGGTGGCATCTATGCCATTGTAGTCCTGAGACTCTGGTGCACAATTGGGAGGATCATAATCCCTTGGGAGGAGAGTTGACGTTTCTCTGGACAACCTGTGGTTAAAGGGACAGCAGCTGATAAGACACAACTAGGATGGGAGAGAGGAAATTCAGGAGCAACTTCTCTTTATGATTCAGTGCTAAGCCCCAGCACATTAGCGGATTATTCTTGTCCATGGAGCTGAAGATATCAAGATCTATGCTGCTCAAATGACCTATTATCAGAGCCTCACAGCAGGATTTTCAGACAAGCCTAGAACATTAGCACACTTGACTGTCGTGATATAGCCGGATGTAACTTGGCAAACCTGGAAAAGGACAGCTAAAGAAATCACATCTGAAGTCTCAACTCACTACTATGTGACTGTTTGGACATTATCTCACTTGGAAATAATTTTGAGAGAATGTTACTGACTGTTTTGAATATAAACTTTGCCTGCTTGTACCTTTGTGGATGTCAGCTGCTGGCAACAGGGATTGGGTTTCATGAAGTCTGTGGCTAAACGTTGCTTGTTGATGACAGTGGTCAAATGGTGACATTTTTCACCTTCAGGGTTCATTGGTACTCCACATGATATCCAGAAGAGAGCATCTCTCATGGGCTCAGATATCAACAGGGCTCCTTGGTCCTTTAATGAATGAAGTCCAAGGCTTTTCCCAGGGTGGTAGACTGAATAAAGGCCCTAAAAGGTATCCATGTCCTAACCCTCAGAATCTGTATGTTACCTTATATGGCAAAAGGGAATTTGCAGGTGTTAAGGATCTTGATATGGGGTGATTATCCTAGCTTATCTGGGTGGGCATGATGTAATATAAGAGGGTGATAGCATCTGGCACGGCACTTGGCAAATAGCACTAGTTCAAACAATAATAGTGCTCATTAGGAGGCGGCATCCTCCTCCCTTGCACATTCCATTCCCCTGGGTAGGAGTGTGTGTAGAGAGGTTCCTAGAGGAGAAGCAGCTTGAACTGGGCTTTGGAAGATGGCAAGACTATGAGTAGGTGGAAAGGAGAGCTAGCAGGCATCTCAGACAGGGATCACAACACGGTGAAGGCCCAGCTATACCTGGACATTCCATGGTTTGGCTGATCAATACATTATTGATTCACCAAACCAGCAAATCCTTTTCTCCCCTCAAGCAACATAGATTGGAATTCTGTTACTTACAGTCAAAAAAGTAATTGACTGGTATAGTTTTGGTTCCTTCCAGTTTCATGTGGGCTAGAAACAGAAGTCAACCGATCTTTCTATTTCACTTCTGGGACACCCCAACTCCTGTGTGCCCCAGAATCTTCACTTCCTGTATGTAGATCCACTACAACATTACCAAGGCAGCCATCCTCAATACTTCTTCTTTGAAAAAACATTTCCTCTCTCACACATCACCTTCCTCACCACGACTAGGGTATAATCAACTACTCCCTCTTTAAACTTGTCACGTGATACATGATACACTTTGGTGACTAACCTCTTTAAATACCTCTTCCCCAGAATATAATGCCCTAAGGACAGGTGCCATGTCTTATTCATCCGTGACATCTTTATTTCTAGTGCATAGCCTGAAATATTGTGGTGTCCAGTAATTATGTGCTCCCCCCCCACTTTGGCCTGCCTCTATGTAGGGCTAATATGGTCCTTATCAGTCTCCTTGACTTTCTGAAGAAGATATCAGTCCAATTCCCACCTCAATGGACTATCTGTGTCTGTGTGTTCCAGTTATGTGTCTGCTTCTAAACCTTCATAGAATTTGCTGTTATCAAACTGTGTATTGCTGAAATGCTATATTGCCTTGGGCACAGAAATGAACCAAAGAGAAATTCATTGTTGAATTTCATGTAGGAATGATAAATATGATCACAGTAAGATTCAGGAGAAAACTTTCTCTCTGACCTAAATATCAGGAAAAAGTAGGATTTTCTAGGCACTTGTTCTATATTTGTCATATGAACACTACATGTGCCCAATCATGCCTCTTTCCCTCTTTCAGCTGGATGGAGGAAAGCTCTAATCAAACTTCTGGCACATTTCTAGCATATGGATAGGTCTTTGTGGCATGCATTTTATATACTCATCTCACTCTAGTTTTTGATCTGGCTTTTCTACCCTATTTTGTATTTGTTTTCATTTCCTCAGTTCCTTTTTAATTTATTTTTTTATTTTTAATAGTTTATTGTCAAGTTGTTTTCCATATAACACCCAGTGCTCATCCCCACAAGTGCCCTCCTCCATGCTCATCACTCCCCTTCCCCTCTCCCCCACCCCCATCAGCCCTCAATTTGTTCTTGGCATTCAAGAGTCTCTCATGATTTGCCTCCCTCCCTCTCCCCAACTGTTTTTCCCCTTCTTCTCAGTTCCTTTTTTAAAAGAAAAATATCTTATTCCATACCTCTATAACCACAATTATTTCCTGATTGGGCACTGCACAGCTTCTCAAACCTTGGTATCATATTAGTGACTGCTACTATCATTTCCCCTTCCACAATGATTTTCACACATTTTTTATCAAAAAAGAGATTGAATCCATTCTTTATTCTATTTCCCTGAATATAATTTTAATAATAATGTTTTATTTCAGAATAGCTTTAATTTACAGAAAACTTACAAAAACAGTACAGAGAGTTCCAGGGAATGTTTTTTCCTTGGCTAGACTGGGGTCACTGCTGTTGAGGCAGAAGATCACAGCAGTTAAGTGCCATTCTCATTGCATCATATCAAGAGTGTCTGCTATTAACTTCACCTGTCACTGATGATGTTAACCTTAATCACCTGGCTGAGGTAGTGTTTTCTAGGTATCTCCACATGGACAATGTCATGACAGTCATATGGTTGAGGAGAAGATAGGCTATTCTAAGAAGTTGGTTGCTATGCAGACAATCCTAGATAGCTGCCTCACTTATTAAATGATTTTTTACACACCAATATCAGGGCCAGCAGCTGGGGATGTTAGACAGTACTCAGTATTCTCTTTCAAGGATATCATGAAAAACATCATTAATTCCTGGACAACTCGCTCCTGAACTACACTTCTCCGATATTTTCTTTTTTTACTGCTTTCATTCAAAATTTAGGGCACAGTCATCCAGCCATGTTCACTTAGGATCCATTTGTCTCTTTGAGGATCTCTGATGTCTTTGAATGCTTTGTTTGCATTGTAAGAGCTGAATTCTCCTTCCTACAAGGGGCAATATGTATTCTATGCTTTCTTACTTAGTTACACAAGTGTCCTACGGGAGCCTTTTACCTAAGCAAGGAAGGCAAGATAACAAGCCACCACTGTTAAATTGCCACCAGCCCTCTAATGATTCCTTTGGAAGGGCCAAGATTTCATCCAGTGATGACAATCACCAGGGACCTTGTTATTCTGGAGACTTCAGGGAGTATATGGACATGCAGTTTGGACCATTAGCTAGGCCTTTAGGGAGCATACTTTATCCATGGCAAGTGAGAGGTAGTAATTATAATCTCACATAGGTTTTAAGGGACAGATTGCAAATTATATCAGAATAGACAATATACACTTAACCCCTTAGGTAAACTGATTGGATCAGAGGATGAGAATGGTGAATCACTCATCAGGGTTGAATAAGTATAAGAATCCAGAAGTTACTCATCTAAAAACCCTCAGAGATCTGTTTTGCTTGGAAATTGTCCACATAGTGATAACAGCTATCCTTTACATGTATATAGTACTTTATAATTTTTTGAGATCCCATATACTATTATTTCAGGTAATTCTCACAAAAAGCCTATGAAGTAGGCAGTGTTTGTACTATCTTATAAATGAGGAAACTTGAACGCTGAGTGGCTAAGTAGTTGCCTCAAGCTACGCATTATTTTAATGCTTGATTCTTTCTCTTTGTTATTGTCATCAATTTTCAGCATCGTGAGTTGGGGTCTTGCAACCTGTAATAACTAATTAATTTTTTTAAATAAATTTTTGAAATAAGATTATAAACTGAAATATATAATTATATATATTCACGTATACACACACACACACACACACACACAGTGTTTCAACCTAATGAAGTAATTTTTTTATAGCTTGAATTGTCCCAGAGTGATTTCATAGGAGCCCCTTCAGGCTGGATTCTGTTTCTTTTTGATATGACTTGTTGACTGACCCCATCAGTCTTTGAAAGCTTGCTTTTTTTTTCTGGCACAATAAGATGTCCCAGGCTTATTTTGTACATTTCTCATCCAGGTTCTAAGATCAGCCATTTTTCTAAGGAGTCCTGGTTTCTTGTAGTGAAAAATGATATTTGACAACCAGTTAATCAACCTCCACTTGCTATTGTGCTTTATTAATATAAGAATGACTGACTAATCATATTTGGCCTTACAGTATAGTATTAGAATAGTGACTGGGGCATTTTGGCCAACAGAGCACTACATTATAAAGGATATAGCTCATAGCTATTAAAGTAAAAGAAATGAGGTGGTATTGTTACTGTCTTTGTCACCCTTGGGTGAGATGGCACATACATTCAATGATAGTTGACCATGAGCTGCAGTATTTTCTATGCAAACATACCAGTTAGAGTAAAAAGTTTTGTTACCATTGACTCTATTATTTTTAAAAAGTTTATTTTCAGAGAGAGAAAGAATGCATGCATGAGCAGGAGAGTGGCAGAGAGAGAGGGAGAGAGAAAATCACAAGCAGCCTCAGTGCTGCCAGCACAGAGTTTGACATGGGGCTTGATGCCATGAACCCTGAGATCATGACCCGAGCCAAAACCAAGAGTCAAATGCTTAACTGACTAAGTCACCCAGGCGCCCCTACCATTGACTTTAAACTCTAGCTCTGGAGCTTTCTGGCCTGAGTGGATAATTGCCCTAGGCAGAGTAATATCTTCAGGGGTTCCCAAGAGGATGAAGGGAAACTTAGATGCCAGATGTGATGATTAAAACATCAACTCCACTTCTTTCTCTAGGCCAGTGGGCAGGACACCAGGTGCAGCCAGAAGAAAGAGCTATTGTTTCCTATGAAGGGAAATGAAAACCAGTACTTAAGAGTTTAAGCCAAATTAGTGACCTGCAATTCAGGGCTTCAGACAGTGTAGGTTAGATTAACACACATATTGCTTCACACTTTACCCTACATGTTGAGGCAAAAGAGAGGTTTTTAGTTTTCTGCATTTCTCCTTTATTCAGATGGATGTTCAGATCATGAGAAATAAGAAGAGAATGTACCAGCACAATTAAATGCCTTTGGAGCCATGTCATTAAACTCCCTTTCTCCTTTGGAATATAACCCTTTGGAAGGGTTTTTGTCTGTTCTGTTCACTATTCTATCTCTAGCACTTTGGGTAATGCTGGCACATGATAGCTTTCCCAGTATTTGTTGAATTAATATGTATCTTCCACAGAAACATTAACATGGGTAGGCTCTTTTTAGACAGATCTTCTTTTTGCCATTGCTTGGCTCATATATGCATTTTCCTTCCAAGGAGATGTTTGTGGTCTGAATGTAGCTATTATTTGCTTTTCCATTATCAGCTGCCTTGTCAGATTGAATGGTCACACTGACAAATATCTAGAGGAATGTGTTCCACTAAT